CTCTTCTTAATGCAGCCCAGGATCCCATTGGCCTTCTTGGCCACAAGAGCACACTGCTGCCTCATGGTCAACTCATGAGGTTTCTCACCGCCCAGTTGTCCAGTCTGTCCAGGTCCCTCTGGATGGCAGCACAGCCCCCTGGGGTATCAGCTGCTCCTCCCAGTTTGGTATCATCAGCAAACTTGCTGAGGCGACACTATGTGCCTTCATCCAGGTTCTTCTCTGCATTACTCCAGTCAGTGCTGGTGTCAAAATCCACGATGCAACATCCCACATTACAACTCTGTCATATATCATGGAAGCCAAAAAACTTCATTAGCTCTCTGGAAGGGTCTGAGTAGATTTTTTTCAGACTTGCCTGGCACTAATAACATAACAGATACTCTAAATTTGTGCTCAGGTCTGTTTGCTGGTTTCCAAATAGTGAGCTCACTCATGCACAGAAGCAAAAATGAACACTAAGGAGACTGTTCCCCTTCCCTTTTTAATCAAATCTTTTGCCAAGAGTTACTCAAGGCATAACAGAATAGACACCCCTAATTTTCTGGACTGCAAAAAGAGACTATAGTGTAATTCCTATTTTCACTGTAGAGCTGCCAATGTTGCACAGTTAAATCACAAAAATCCACTTTTTTTCTGAAAGGCTACTTCAAATGTTAGCTCTTGAAGACAATCTGAATAAATACCAACAAATGGAAATCCCCACACTTAGGGGAAGAAAAGGGAGAGGATTATATTTTTTAAAAATAATTTTTAATAGGTTTTTCATAGGCATGACTGCTATAGGGTCTTCCAGCCATAAGCAATGCTGCATACTGCAATGCACCACATTTTTCACTGTACACGAAAAAGCCTACGAAGAGAATTCCTTCACTGGAAAAATATCGTACAATCACTTCAATAAACAAAGACAACATTACAGTGCAAACAAAATCTTGGTTTTATTTATGCTGCAGTTACTGAGAAGCTCTCAGTCTTTCTGACACTCACCGGCAACCAATGTTTTCTGACACGGTTTCCTTTGCTGAACCAAAAACCGTGGTCTTATCCCTGGAGGTGCAACAAACTGTATGCACATCTGTGTGATGTGTATTGACCTGATCTGAAGGGGGCAGGGATAGGCAGCAGAACATTCATCACCGATGGCATTACATGGAACATCTTGAAAGTCTTTTCAGATTAGACAATACAGTGTACTACTACTTTGCAGGCATTAAATAAATGATCATTCCATTGTATTTTTCAGATCTGCACTTATTTCAAAGCATACAGAGAAGGCAAGAATAGGAAAGAAGGCTGAATTAAATAACAGTTTCACAGTCCTAATATAATCTGTAAAGTATGCAAACTGCATGCTATTTGCTACTCGAACAGCTGATGAGCATTCTAGACATACAGGTGCAAGGCGGCATTCAGTCAGGACTGATTCCTCAGTTCCAGCACTTCTGCACAATTACAGTTTTTCACTTATCCCCTTCAACAAGCACCAGCTATCTCACAAGCAGGTGGGAATTAGGCTGGCAGGATTGAGGTAGGGTAGTTTTTGCAGTGCTTCAGCCCAGCATGGAGCTCAGGCAAGAAAAGAAATTTAGCAAAGAAGGATGTATCAAGGGGTCATGTGCTAAGAATATCATTTACATTACAAAAAAAAAAAAAAAAAGCTGCATACTGCACAGCTCATTTATACAGCTGAAAACCCCAACTTGTAGAAAGGCAACTTGTAGAAAGACACACTCTAAATATGCTGCCTCAGTGGGGCAATAGTTTGTCCCAGGTAAAATGAGCAAGTGAAGATTTTGCCTGCAAAAGCCTTGTAAAAACTTTCAACCACCCTCCTGCATAAATACAAACCTATGGGTTAAAATGACTTACTCTTAACTATCCACCTGCATTTATGAATGAAACTTGTAAATGAAGACAGTAACCCTTAGAAATTTATTAATGTACCAGAAAGGATAAAAATATATATTAAACCACTATTTTAATTATATCCCCTATTCATAAATAATGCACCATCATTTGCCATCTCAAAATCATGTGTTAGGATTGTGTGTCTAAGAGGATTTTGCATTGTTCAATTACTCCAAAAAAACTGCATAAAAAAGACACACCAACCTAAGAGACCACACAAAACCATGGCGACTTGCCTGCTAGGCAGTTCCTTCACAGTTCCACAGTATTTTGTTGGAAAAGTGTGTCCCTCAGGCTTAGGTTATATTTTTCACATGCAGATGTTTCTCAGCTTAGCAAGAGAATGAATATTGCTGGTGCTTTAATACTGAGAAGTTGTTGATTCTCTTTTAAACCATGGAAGAACTTGGTGTTCGAAAATACCTTCGTTTTCAGAGAAGCTCTGTGAAGGTTATCTACTCTCCTTGCACTAAAATGAGATTCCTTTCTCTTAAGTATACACATGCTGCAGTGTCAAAGTACCATACACACAGTCCCACACAGATCTCTGCAAAAAGCCTCTGTGACCAAGGCTGGAGGCGGCCACTCTCCATCACAAACTGAAGTGCTGAATTCCAGGAACGAAGCCTGCACGGCTCACATTGTCTCTCACCTCCCATCCACAGGAAGAGGTGAGAGGGCTTTTACAGAGTCCTCACGGCCACTGGGTAGAGAAGTGACAAGTGTTCTGCTCCCTTGATGGGCAGCTTCCTTGTAGTGTAGTAGTGGATGACTTCCGGAACGGTGTCAAAAGGAGGACTGTTCTGACCCAGGATGTATTTTTCTTTGGTTTTCGTCAGTTTCATGTGCATGAAACCTTGACTGCTCCTGCGAGAAAAGCAAAGAGTTAGATCATGCCTCTGTGTGTGGAGTGGGGCAGCACAACAGCCTCCACTTCATGATGCAGGGAAAGACAGAAATTCCATCTAATGGGCTAGGATTGCTCAATAGGTCAGCTCCAGTTAGTTTGGTAGTCCCATGAACAGCCTGAAACAAATGAAACTTAAGCTAGGGTTTTGTTTTCACCACCTATACCGCCAATTCAGCCTTTTCCCACTGGACTCAGCTGCAAAGCTGCCTCATCCTGCAGATGCTCAATCCATGCCAGAAGACAACCGTTCCCTCTCCTCCCCTGCAAATTTTGCAGTGATTCTCTCCTTTTTACTACATCAAGTCATCACCTTAAGACCAAAGGCAGTTGTTACATTTGGCCAGAGTCCCTTTCATGGAGACACACACAGGTATTAAGGCTCACTGATGTCAAGCAAGGGTTTCACTGCTGCTGAGGAGTCCTCCAAGTAGTAACTGCCCAGAAAAAGGACTATGCCCAGAGAGGTCAGGCAAGACCATCTGCGAAAGATCTCCTGCAACTTGAGTGAGCCCACTTCCAAGGGCAATGGCACACTTTCAAACACCAGAACGATCCATTTCTGCACATGCAGAGCGAAGGACAGCAGCAACTCCAGTCAGCTTATGACATGAACTCCACACTAGAAACAAACAATTTCTAGGCCATCCATCTTCTTACAAGGGAAACCTCTAATGCTGTGTAGTCTGCTGGCCAGTTCCCAGGCTCCTTGACTTGCTGGCTCAGCTTGTTGACCACTGCACATCTTCTGCATGCGGAGAGACCATCAGCACCAACGTCTGCAAGGGGCACAGGTACTCCTTGCAGTCCAAGACCTGCAGAGCTGTGTCCTTCTGAAGTTCTATGTGGGCTGAAGTCTTTGATGTTGGAGTGACAGTTAATTCCAACAGCTGTTGGGGACCATGCCCTGTGATGCATCATCACCATAGCTGACGACATGCATGCTGGCCTGGTGATTGTTCCCAGACCCTTTTTTGCAGCCTTCCGTGCAAACTGCGGTGCAAACATTTCACAAGAAACCATAATAAAATTCATTTCTATTTTAAGCTAGACAAAACACAATTAAGAGAAGGACTTACAAAAATCAAATTCAGTCCTATCAAAATCTAAAAGCTGAACACCAGACTTGCTGAACAGCAGATGATAAGCGGAGCTGAGGTATGAGATGTATACTATCAGTCATACTAGATTTGGAGCTGGTGATAGTGGGGAAATGCCTGAGGGTTCAAAGATAGGAAAAATCAGTCCAACGTACTGGCATAGTGAGGAAATAGCTGCATCAGAGCCACATGGCCAAAGTAAGGAAAAGTGCAGACTGCAGGGCACACTGCAGAACAGACTGCTCACCTACTGCCATTTGGAGTAGACCTTTTCAAACAAGTCAGAAGGAATCACAGCTTTCAACCATGTATAAGAAGTCTTGCACTGCCTGGACAGTTGACATGCAGGTATCTACGTACGCAGGTCCTTCCCAGTATGACAGAAACACTGAGAAGCCCTCTATCCTAAACTAGGTGGAGGAAAAACAATCATTGAGTCCTGGAAGCAAGGAGCAAGGCACTTTTCTTGGTACTTCCATCTTTTACAGTGTTAAAGCATTCCTTCTTCCACTCTTTCTCTCTTTAACAATATCTGCAAATTGCTGGTTCAAACTTGGAAAGCCAGAATCTGATTTGATGGAGAAATGCACCAGCAGAAATGAAAACACTTGCGCATAATGGTCTGACCAGACAAACACAGTGGCCAAATGAAGTAGACACATCAACAAGCCAAACTCATGGCCAGCTGACAGCCAGTTACTTTAGGGTAAGTATCTCTTTGCTGATTCGACTCCTCTTGAAGCAGTGTTCTGGTTCTGAGATGAGAGCTGTTAGAGCATTTGTGAGAGAATCTTTCTGCTGCTGTTTTTTTCCTCCACTACAAAGCAATTGCTCTATGAACGCATTGTTTCAAAACGCTGTGGTGCACAATGATGCTGCAGCTGCCTATTTCCCATCAAAAGAGGAGTCCCTGGGTCATTTTCTCTTGTTCTGATAAAATATGCTTGAGAAGCAAGTTGCAAATCACAGACATCTCCCCAGCAGGTAACCCATCTCATTAAAGCATGCTAGCTTTAAAGCGACACTTAGCACAATTAACACAAATGCTGAATATAACTTATTATCATAAGAAAGATGATTATGAAACACTGCCAGTGAGACAGACCCCAATAACAGAATTATCCATTACTAAAACCTAAGATATTTAGTAGTAGATAATGTGATTTTGCAGCTGCTGTGGCATATTGCCTATAACTGGAATACAGTTCCTCTTACTTTTCCTGATAATTGGTTAATGAATTTTTCATGAAGAATGCAGGGCAACATTTATGCTAAATCAACTCTTTTCAGTATAAAACAACTTAAAACCACTAGCCAAAGGGAAAAAAGAGTCATTAGAGGTAGAGAAGCCAGCCACCCTCATTTCTCAAAAACAATAATCCTTTTAATGCAACCCACAGATATTTTCTATTTAATGAAGCAGAGACTCATTACTGTTTTCTGGGATTTCTACACTAGCTCGAGGCAATGAAATCTCTGCCCTATTTCTTCTTTTCAAGCACTTTGCATTACAGTTTTTGAAAAGTGTAGTCCTGCCATTGGTGAAATCAATAACAAAACAAACTGACTTCTGGTGTAGAAGGACTGAGATAGGAGGTAGCTCTCCCTACATTAATTTTATTGTTATTTTATCACCACTGTATTCTATGCCAGTTTGCTCACCTAGCCATTGAAAGCTTACTGCCTAAGACTAGCATACTTGCAGATTTTACAGAACTGTTTAGTTAAAATCAATCACTAACCAGGATCTTTGTGGAGCTTCTTAGATGAATCAAATGTCAACCGGTCATGTGCAGGATCGTCATTTTCAGCTATCTTTCCTGGCTTTTCCTGGCTTTTTTAACAGTCCTCATTCAAGCACTAGCTCTTCTTTTCTCTTCAAAAGGTATGTTAGAAAACTTGTTAGAAAATGAATGGCCAGGTAACCTAATATTTTGATCACTGAAAAACTGGCATTTCCCATTTACTCCGATTCTTGTATTTCTACTCTTTTGGGGTTCTTTTCCTAGAAAAGCACAAGATAAAACACAGTCTGAATAGAAAATGTTTTTCAGAACTGGCTTCTACAGGGGTTTCAAAACTCTGCCATGTCAAGCATACAAACTTTTTGTTCATAAAGGATAAAGACTGACAGGGAAAGCAATGCAACTGGGCTTATTTTTAATGTTGCTGGTGTTTGTAGCCAAAAACAACACACTGCTAGCTGTTCACCAACAAACTAGTTATCAACATGTTGTTAGTCATGAGCATAAATCAATTTTCTTTCCCAATTATTTTTCCCACATGCCTAGAATTCTTTAAGCTGATCCTTACTGCAGGCTGGTGGATAATAGCAATGATGTTTGGAATCAGGATTTTTCAGTCTCTTTCAGTAGCAAGTATTATTGATCCTGCTAGGCCCAAGATTTCCAAATAGCAGATCATAAAGGAACCCCAAATTTACATACATAAATCTTGATGGATACATGTTCCTGAAGACAGCAGACCCAATAATTTGACCTTAGGATTTATTTAAGTTAGATGCTTATTCTTAGTATGGGACTTCTTAAATATGTTATGATGTCTCAAACTTTTCCAAACTTTTTGCTTATCTGAGGGAAAATAGTGGATTTGACACACACACTCCTCCTCTTTCTCATTTTAACCATTCTGGTGACTTTCAAATGAAGAATAGGAGAACTCTTGGCTGCACTAAATTTTTTCTCTTCCAAGAACAGATGTTTGTACAGACTCAGTACTTGATATACACTTTAGTAACAGTCACCCCTTGATTAAACTCTTTTCCAACACAAACCTAAAATCGAACTTTGAATTATAGTTTCTCCATATTTTCTCTTCAGTTCTCTAAATCCAAAGAAAAAGATAGCTTATCAGACTGTGTTTTCTTTGACTCTGTGCTTGCAGTATGACACAAGCGTATTCAAGAAATACATTTAACTTACTGTATTTTTTCGAAGAAAAAGTTTTTGGCTTTGAAATATCACTAACGAAATATCACTAAACAGAAAAATCCTCTCAATGCTGCATTAGCTTAAAAATATGCTGCTTTGTTAGAGCATGTTTTCTGCATTGAGACTTCTATTTTGATGAAATATCACTTGAGCAAGGACATAAAGCAATAATGTTGCAATAACATCTTAAAAAAATCCACCTATTTTGAAACTATATTGTATTTTGCTTTCTTTGTTTTGTTCCATTCCAAAATAACTCTCAATTCTAAATTTATTTTTTGTTCTATACCATTACTGCTAACAAATCCTACAATGATTCAGGCCAACAAAAGGCAAGAAATAAAACTTCCTCTTAAAAATAAAATCCTGTTCCTACCTAAGGACGAGTACCTGCTAGAAAAATCATTTCTTGGAGACTATCCACTACTACTTCAGAGGCTATGAACTATTTTCTGCTGTCTCAGCTCTGCTCTTTTGAAGCACAGCACAAACAACAATACGTTATTCTGCATCTGACAACTGTTATTTGCATGAGCAATGAACAGTGTCTGTCTCTTGGCTAGCAAGAGCTAAGAAAACATCCCCTTGCATGCAACACACATGAAGAATATTCTGCTTTGCCAGGCTCCATTGCCTACATCCACTTTTCATTAGTGTCTGGGGTAACACCAAAATTACAGCGTATTTTTGTGAAAGTGATAGAATCCTTGCAGTCAGCAAACACCAAGGCTTCCATCACCTCTGTTTTGGCTGCTAGCAGACTAGATATAGTTTTAAAATACATTGATTAAACTATATTTGGAAAGCCATGAAAATTTCTCCTTTCTCTTTATAAATTGTACTGGAACATTACAAATGTTCCTTTGCAAGAAGAGAGTAAGTATTTTACACCACCTAAGAGACAGAAAG